AACAAAAACAAAGTCGAGGTCATCACAATTTAAATACCGTTTACATTATCAGATACATTAGCCCGAATCAAAAAGTTTGTACTCGTGAAGTAATAAAATAAAAACGAACATTTTTAAATCTTGATCTATTTTATTTGCATTCCTAGCGGTGGGTTTTTTAGAATAGCCGACGCTGCAAATTGCAGCGCTGCATCTCGCGCCAGAAAAATGGCGGCCGAGTTGCAGAAGCACATTTCAAAAGCTTATTTTTCACAAATCGAACAGAAAACAAAATGATATTTGAGTAGAAAGATAAAAATATTTTCTTAAGGTGCGTATTCTTTCAAAAAATGGGTTGAATCCTTTTCTAACAGTGAAAATTCATGATTTACATACGAGATTTTTATTATGTAAGACTAACACAATGGGTATATTGATTACATAATTCCACCGATTTGTATATTATAAAGAAAAGGTTTTTATCGATATAACTAATAAAAATCAGGAGACCCAAGTGGTCTCATCAATTTATTTTCTAAATGGAATTCGGTCTCACATTTAACAAACCTATATCTATTAATATCATTGTTAATAGACGATTACTAAGCTATAGAAATATGTATATATTTACACAATCACATACTCACGAGTTTGCCCCTAAAGGCGTATTATAGCACCCAATATTTTGCTAACTATAAAGTTTTGTCCTACTCGCGCATAGAGATCGTGCCTATTGCTCATCACTCAATATTGTTCCAGGTAGGAATCGAACCCATGACCTCTGACTTAGCAGTCAAGTTTGCTAACCACTAAAACAAAAGGCCGACAACCTTTACACATATATTCCTTTTTACTTTTAAACTTAAAAAAAGAAAATTTATGGAACAAGTTTCCTTTCTCCTATAAGTCTTATAGTATCGATTTATTTACACTGTATAAAGGATTTAATGCAAAAGGCTATACAATTTAGCGAGGGACCCTGACGTGTCAATGCAGTTTGTCATATAGACATAACCTTTATAAATAGTTTGGGATAACCCATATTTATATTCTTACAAGTTATTTTGAAATAATATTTTGCAACAAAATTATTATACATGTATAATACTTAAATAAGCCCGCCATATATGATATGGTATATATGCCAATTATATGATATGGTATAGCTGATTATTTTCTTAATTATAAGTGTATTTCAATTTTTCTTTTGAAATTAGAAGTAGCTTACAGTAAACTTTAAGTTGCCCCTTTTTTTCTGTGCGTTACTCCCCTAGGATACCTCCCATTCTATGTGGTCGCTGCAAACGACCCGAGACAGATGAAACTCCGGTGCGGCCGGGGGGGTGTTGTCCATGGCGGGGCGCTGTTGCGCCTCCTACCGTATAGAGCAGTGACAGGCGCGGCAGCCTCTCGCCCCAGGGTGACTACAGTCACCCCGGGATGTGCCTCAAACATGGGGTACGGCAGGGAGGACTCCAGAAGCCGCAGATGCGTTTCTGGAGGTCCTCCTGACTGCCGAGGTAGGCCGCCGCGGGGCTTAGGATACCTCCCACCAGTGGGGTGGTTATGTCGGACTCGAACCGACTAAAAACCGCATGCCGTCTCCAGGCATCAGTAGCCGGGGAACCAGGTATATCCTATAAAGGAAAGCCTTGGAACCCCAACGTACCTCGGGCCATCTACGGCTTATAAATGATCCCCTCCTGTGTGGAAACCCCGATGTTCCGATCCTGCCCATGAAGGGCGTGTGCGTTCCGTAGCGCTTCGCGCCTTTCGCTTTAAGGATTAACTTTGAGGTACCCCTAAAATTTAATAATACAATTTAACTGGCTGATCTAATCGATCCATGTAAAAGACCCGAAAAAGCATCTTTCAAGACACTGCCCTGGAGTTCTTAATTAATATCTTAGTAACATAACAAAATCAAATGTATTATGGAGCTGGTTTAGTAAATTATTGAACTTGTTTATAGCGGTACAGATATCCTCATAATAAAGGATGTTGGGCACTCGTAGATTATTGTATGAGTACACAAGATATTGAGATGAATTGCTCGAGATTTGTTCAACAGATATTCAAATTGTACCAAGGACCTAAAGCTCTAAAGTTTATAATTCAAATAACGAAGAAAAACGATTTCTTAAAATATAATAAACAATGATCCAGCATTATTGGCAAAATGCTTGGAGTTCGACCAATAGTTCGGATCGTCTTTCCTTTTTATATTTCCCCAGTTAGGTAATTTCCAAGTTCTGTTGTTCTTATTGCTAAAATTTAATTGAGAAAAGAAATTCAGCTAGGTGACGTGAACGATTCACGGAGGCGTGTTTCCAAAATTGTTTTGAAGGTGAGTTAGGGGTATTAAAGTCCAAGTAAGTTCTTTGATCCAGATAATAAAATAAATGTATTAAAAGGTTAAATGATAAAACGTAATTTAATTAAAGATATAAGGAGACACACTGATGGCAGATGAATTTATATTTTATTTGGCATAATTCAGGATTGGGAGATTAAATTAAATAATACCTTGACTCAGATGAGATTGAATTTAAGTTTATTAAAATGGGAACCATGATATTAAATTATAGCATAATTTTGTTTGTGTATTTTCTTGAAAATAATGATCTTGAAAATATGTAAATAAACTTTTCACACTTTACTATTCAATGTAAAAAATATATAAAACCTGGTTGGATAAGAAACTAATATAAAAATGAACAAATAAGTCACAAAACCCATTCTTGAATAATAAAATAAGCGACCTGTATCCGATACAACACACAAAACACGTAATAAACAAACGGGTTTGCGAATAAAAAGCTATTTCCCGATGGTAGGACGGGCTAAATTTATCGGGTCGCTCCGCGAAATATAGGTGCAATCCTGCCAACGGTTGGAAGGTGATTTACGTACGCAATGTCTATGAAACGTAAGAAATAAAAGGATTTGTGTATCTTTCTGAACTTCGAAATTGCGTATCAGGCGCGATTGAGATATAAGTATAATTTAGAAATGTCACTGTTCAATATATTCAGCTGTGTCGAAATCATCAGCGCTGTGTACATGAACGTTGCTACTCTGTTAAACTTTTACAGAAACAACCGTCTTTTTTGAGACAACTCTGTTACGAGTAACGACTTGATTTTGAGCCGCACCACTCTTGTTAGACTTACTTGCAATTGGGTTAACGTACAAGCGAGTTGAACTTCTCTGAATTTGGTGAAACTTGGAAAAGTACTAAACATTTCACGTGGTAATTCTAGGTCTTAATTTACGGGGGACGCGTCTACGTGCTTAACCGTTACGACCGAAACATTACTTGCTTCTTCGTATCCTGCTGGCTTAATAATTTCATTTAATATATAGAAGCGATAACCATATGAGAATATACTTTACTAAAATCTTTAATTTAAACTGAATACGCTTATTAAAACAATAGAGAATTATTCATTATATTTATTTTATTATTACTTTATTTATAATATGTATGTATTTAAAAACTAAAAGTATGTTTATCAGCAGTCTGGCATACCTCAGGCTCAGCCTAGTTTGGGATCAGACGGCCATGTGTGGGGGATGTGTGAAATATTATTATTATATTATTTGTAAGCAAATATTAGGATAGGATGAATCAAAATCATTAAAATTAGTTTGTATTTGTTTTTTTTTTATTAGTGTACGTTACGTATAAAACATAGTTTGGAATTAAGTTTCAAATAAGGCACCATAGAATTGAATCAGTTTAATCGATTGATCGTTTGCGGTGCCGACAAGGCCTTTAGAGCTCACACGTTTTCGTCGACCACGCAGATTGGAGGCCGACCCTTACGAAATTGAATTGGTAGTTATAACTTACCGTAGGTATACATACATATATTCACTAAATAGACGTAAGGTATGTTTAGAGAACAAAGATTATATTACATCAAGCGCCTTTACATATAATTCCGTATACTATATTATATCAGTGTAAGTAAATGAAAATGACATGTATTTTCTATTTAGCTGATTCTTTCTTAAACGCGACAAAACCAGACTTTAATATTAATAGAGATTATTATTAAAAGACATTGTTATTATTATTTACATCTACATTACTTTAATAATTATAATTAAGTTTTATCTAACCCGTTTCACGACTTCTGCTGAACAAAATTATATTCAAGGGTAGTTTAAATAACAATTACGATTACGTAACTTTAACGCTAACGAAATTCTTAAGAAAACCTTAACTTCTCAGTAAGTAAAGAACAGAAAACGGAGGTAGTGAAAAAAACGATGAAAGTTAATCCCGCTTCAATTAATTATACCAACGCAGGCAATTACTCTAATCCAATACGAAGCCATGTTGATATCATACTCTTCTTCAAAAGAACGATGTATTAAATTATCTTTTGTATAAATGGCAAAATGGAATAAAAGAATCCGTATTGATTTTTCGTTTTCCGACAGTAAAATTTATAGCCACAATGATCCTCCATTTTTGCACCCATATATCCTGAATAAGAGAGAAATATTTGATGGAAAATCAGTCTAGATTTAGCTCAAACATAATTCCAAATCTTAAAAAGCGATAAGGCGTATATTTGGATCTAGTTTATGCTTTATTCTTCATCTCAAAACAGCAAGTAATGAAATCTTCGAAAACAATCATTACTATAATTCATTGTTTCTTGTGGTAGGTATTTAAATACCCATTGTCCAAATGTTAAGTAATATATTTTTTATTTTATTTGCACATAAAGTAGAGATTGAATTTTTGAGACAGGATTTATATTAACCTCTATTATTATTCCCACCACATAAAACTCAATATTTTACATTTTGCCTATTCCCTAAAATGGTCGAAATAAATGGCAGTAGACGACTATAGACTAGGCTTTCCCTTTCAAAGATATACAAGAAATAAAATATTCAGAGCCCCCTACGAGTCGGCGATTTCGAAATCGAATGATGTAACCGGCCGTATATTCAGTTTAATAGTTAGTATTAAACCCATATATAAAAATGCATGAACTCACCTTCCAAATAAACTGCTGTCGAAGCAGCTTTATCGTTTTCCACCACTGACCGAATGGTTTCGTATGAGATTACTTCCAGCAGATTGAATCGCAAGTCTAGAACAACTAAACTCCTTATGTCTTCCAATATATCTTCATAAAATGTTGTTAGTTTATTACCGGATAATGTCAATTTCCTTAGTTGTGTGAGGCCACCGAATGCCCGCTCTGATATGTATTCTATTGCGTTATTATCAATCATTAGTTCTTTTAAACCCCACAGTTCAGTGAAGGCTAAGTTTCCTATCATAGTCAGTTTATTACTTCTCAAATTTAATCTGGAAAGATTTTCAAGCCCTTCCAACATTTCTCTGGTCACTACTGATATGTAATTAGATTCTAAATTGAGTTCAATTAAATTGTTTAAGTGCTTGAAGCAGCCTTCGTGTATTAAGCTTAGGTTGTTATTCGATAAGTGTAAGACGTGGAGATTTGGTAATCCAAAAAGTACATCCCTCTTTAATTCTGATATTTGATTTTCATCTAAACTTAAGTTTGATAACATCATCATTTGCGAAAATGAATGTTTCTCTAAAATATTAATCTTGTTTGATTTCAACACAATCTGTCTGATTGTAGACGAATTCGTGAAGGCGTAAGGCGGAATCCTTTTGATTGTTCCAAATTGTATAGAGATATGTTTAAGTCTGTCCAGTCTTATGATTGCCTTTGCCGGTATGAATGTTAACGCATCGTCCGATCTGACATTGAACATTAAATGCTCTATTTCAGATTGAGATGAGAAACTTGGCCAAACAAGGTCTTCCTCAGTAATTCCACCGCCGAATACCCAGCAATCCGCTCTTGTTGCCATTTTTGGCTTATTACTGTCACAGTAACAGTGAACTTTAGATCTCCGATCTTTTATATCACATACATTAATAAAGACTGGTGAATAGTAAAGCCTTTCAACCTTTGGCTTAGTATCGTTCTTGCTCTCAGTTACAGTTAGTTTCACTGTCATCAATGACGCGATGATAATCAAGTATTTAGTAATCTGCTCCATTTTACTCTCAAAATTGGTATCTGAAACAAATAAAAAAACTTTTGAATTGGTTATTTTATTATCTTATCCACAAGTTGCTCCGATTATTATGAAAGTTATGTTTCATTATGAAATTTTTTCGTTTGATATTATCGGAAGCCATAGTTGGGTATATATTGCAAAGATAAATTAATGTGGCGTTAATAGTAGTATTTTAAAAGTTACCGAAGTGCCATAGTTTTATAGCAATGAATAGAAGATTCTGATCTAATGGACGATAAGGGTCACTTTTATAATGAATGAAAATTGATACCACCAGTAGTTGGATATATCAGTAGTTTATCTGCGAACATAAATTTCATAAGTCGAGGGAGAAAGGCTTAGATTATAATAAAAATATATTTAATCGAGGAGATTTATAGGTGCTAGCTGAAAGCTAACTTGTAATACTGTTTAAGTGTACTAGAACACAATTTGAAAAGTTTTACAATGTGAATTCAATCTTCTTTTTACAAAATCCCAACTTGACTACTCCTTACGATTATAATTTTTGGATTTTGGCATTAAATAGTTTGCCTATAAAGTCTAAACAATCAAAGAGCTAAATTATATTTTCAAAGGAAATGCATGACTTCGAAAGAAATTTAAAATATTATCATTTTGATATTGAAAAGGAACCTACGGTTGCCATGCCTGTAGTCACTGCGACTTCTAATGTAATAGACCAAAAATTTATACAGCAATAAAAAAACCTTTGTCCTTTAGTTTAATATATTGTCGTAAGTAGAATATAGAAGTATTTAATAAGGACTCTCAACGATGTGCAGTTATTCTTCCACACAATCATAGAGCATTCATAACTTTGCCATTTTATGTCAAGCGTTAACCTTAGTACGATATCAGTGTCAGGCTTATTTAAAACCCACGAGACTTCAAATATCCATTTTTTATTATTTTCATTTCAAATTTCTAAAATAATATATCTACTATCATGCTTAGATTGTTTAGTTTATTTATAGTTCTTGGTTAAATGGCAAATATTATTTCTACGCTCACACATTTTTAGGGAGATATCACTGCGTTTACATGAGGATGATAGAGGGCTGGGTCTGTTCATGAACAGGCAGGCAAGTCTGCTGAGATTTAAAGGTATAGCCTTTCTAGAGTATACTTGGGTCCGGCTTTAAGACACAGTTATGGAACTTACCGCGGCTTAATCGATTTGGGTCCGACATACCACCAAAAAAGGTATTATCATCTAGTGAAAAAAAATTTTTTTTTAATGAGAATAAATAAATCCGCGTGGTGTCGGATTAAATATACAGAATGTTATCACCCCTGTTCATCCCGTGGCGGTCGTAAGAGCCGACTAAGGGAACAAACTACGCATGACAACAGCACTGCAAAGAGAAGGAAAACTTGACACAAACCCTATACTAACCCGTCTGGCCATCGTGGCATAGTAGGTCAAAACCTCGTTTCTAAAGAGGGCCTATGTCCAGCAGTGGACTATTAAAGGCTGTTGATGTGATGATGATGTGAGAATAAATAGTAATCAGAAATAGTATCCTAAAGCGATATTAAAAATACATTTTCAAAAGAAATGTAAGACTTTTAGTATAAGGGGGTAAACAAGCAGATGGGTCACCTAATGATAAGTTACTACAGTCCATGGACACCTACAACTCAAGAGACACAAGTTTGACTCTTTTCCCCCGAATAGTAAGTTAATAGTAGTTAATAGTAGTTATTTTAGTTAGGGCTCGGGTAACCTCACTCACCCGGTGAAAATCAGCGACAAAACTGATTATAATCAGTTTTATGTCAGGTACCACTCCAGTTGAGACGACGCTTTTGTGCTTAAACTTGGTTCTCCCATGGTCAAAGTTATTAATATCAAAAAAGTGTCATTTATTAGAAGAAAAGTGTTATTTCATACAAAAAAATTTGTCAAATAATAGTAAAAAGTGTCATTAATGATAGCGTACAAACATAAAATAAACAGCGCTATTCACACTCAATTGATATCGTTATATTCGTTTTGGAAATTCTAAATACAAAAATAACACATACTGTAAGTTTCAGATAAAGCAAAATTTTTTTTTCAGGCATCCCACGTAGGACGGGGCTTAGGTCACCCCTTTGATATATGAGCCTCATAAATATTCGTAATATTCGGTTTCTCATAACGGGTCACGACACAGCAAAAAAAAACACCATTAACAACATATTAACCTAATTAAATTAGAATGTAGTAGACTAGGTATAGTTTCAATAAATAAATTTAACTTATGCATAATTTTGCTATATTTTTTTGTACGAGACTAGTTCAGATTTCACATAATTTAAATCCATGATATGAAAATAGTGATTATGAGCAAACCCTCTACTAATTGCGCACTAGACACACAGACAGCTTCTTGGACAGTTCTTAATGTAAACTTCTTATTTTAGTACTAGTAGAATAGTGTAGTAGTGTAGAATATTTTATATTGTGTTTTAGTTTCAAAAAGAACAAACCTTGATTATAGGAAAACATCTAATGTTATAATGACTAATATTGAAAAAAAGCTATTCCTAATTTAAAATTGCTAATACTGTATGTCCTGCTATAGCCAAAACAGCGTGGTATAGTAGGCCAAAACCTCCTTTCTAAGGAGAGGCCTATGTCCAGCAGTGGACTAGTATAGGCTGTCGATGATGATGATGATGAATACTGTATGTATGACTCGGACATCAACAAGACAAAAAACACTAAGCATATTACTTTTTCATAAAAAGAACATTACAAAAGATATAAACGTATATCAGAATAAAATTAATAATTTTGTATAGTATCAAACTATTAAAGTCTCATATTAGATACTAGTTAATTACATAATAACTTATAAAGTTGGCAAATAGTTTTACGAGTATGTGATGTTGTTTGCCCTTGAGACCAAGAACACTCCTTCATCTAATTATACTCAACACTTCACTGTTACCTATTTACTAATACTTCAAGGCCTTATTATCGATATGTATACTCACTATAATAAAAAAGTAATAATCTATATAAATAAAACTGAATCGCCTAATATGTCGCTAAACGCAAAACTCCAAAACGACTCGACCAATTCCGCTTTTTATGGAAGGTCCTTATAGGAGACAATAAACGTAATAACTACCAGGAAAATAGTAAAACAATATTTTCCTTTTCCCATACAAACCACAGACAAAATTAAAAACTTGTCAATAGCTGTCAGCCATTAGACGTCAATTAAAACAAAACAAAGGCACGTTAGGATACGACAGGCCAATAACTTTTGCTAGAACGAAATCTGTTGCTAGTATTTAGAATAAAGTCATTTTTGTAGTGTATCGCATTTTAACTGAAGGTTTTATAAACTAGGTCTGTTTAACTTGAATCCGATTAGAGAAACCTGGTTTCTAGATCACGTAAACTCATTTTAGAAACTATAACGTGTTACAGTAACATTTTATATCGTAACAGTATTTTATAACTTTTGGAGAGTGGGTTTTTTTAATATTCAAAGAAAATATGTGTAATATTGAAATGTATATAATCAATTTCATAATTGTAATATAACTTCACTAGGTTCGGCAGTAGAGTAGTTCCGAGTTTTAGAATTCGGTGTTACTATCTTTAGTAACACCGAATTCTTCTGACATAAATTTAGAATAGTTTTAATTTGGTCGTTGATTTTTAGGAGGAAAGGTTATCTAAAATAACACGTCACGTTATACTTATAAATACTATTTGTCAAATCAGTAAACATACAAAGCAGAGTAATACATAAACGATATTCGACAAATTCGTGGGTGAACTATTAACACCGAAATTAAATGAACAATGTAATCATCTAAAGCTTTTAAGTTTATTGTTCGAAATACAAACCAAAAAGGAACACCCATGACAAACATAATCATAACCTTTTAAATGTTATTAATATTGACTCTAAATATCGAGTTGAGCACCTTTTATTATGATCAAAATTTAGCTATAAAGCTGTCGCCATTATTGTAACAATATGTAATATTTATTATACGTTCTTTTTAAATTAGTTTTGATGAGATTTTTAAATATATTTGTTTGCAATCAAACCCGCTCAAGTGCTCACGCCCAATCATGAGCAGGTGTACTTTAGACGTAGAGATGATTCTTCCCGATCCCATAATCCCATATCTCAATAAATTTCATCTCAGTAAAAAGTGTTTTCAAAATTGCTTTCAAAACACTTTTTCAGATCTAATAATCTTAACAATAGAAATATCCAGTGGTCCTTGAATAAGAATAAAGTTATTTAATACATTTTGGTATTTTGTGCGTGTAACAAAACGACATTATAGTATTCATACATATTTATTACATTGAACACACTTTTATATTGGATCAATTGAGTGCCAATTTTTCTCGTCGACCCGAGTAATTTGTGGAGATTTCATTTTTTATCTTTCTTTCTATTGGTTACACAACGACGTTATGACATATAAAGTAGCTTAAGTCCATATTCAACAAAAATTGGTTACATTTTTTTATTGTTTTATACTATTTACAATTTAAATAATAAGGCCTAATAAAAGAGCTAATTAATTTGTGGGAGGACTATGTCCAGCAGAGGACGTACTTTGGCTGAGAAGAAGAAGAATAAAAGAATGAGAGCTGAGATTCCACAAGATAAACAAATAAATACTTTTTATCATTTGCTTTTTTTCATATAAATCTCAATTTCTAATTTTAATTTTAATAATCTAAAAATGTTATCTTAAAAAAGTTCTAAGTTTATCATTATCATCTACGTAAGTTTCTCTTCATTTTACTTGGGGTCGGCGCATTATTGTTTTTACATTCTGTTCGTGTAGAGACGGATTAAGATTACGGAATGTCACTACCCCAATTCATCCCGTGGGTGTCGTAAGAGCTGACTGAGGGCGCAAAACAAGCCAGGACACCAGCACTGCAAAAAGAAGGAAAACTTGACTCAAACCCTATACCAACCCGCCTGGCCAGCGTGGTATAG